AGAGAAGACACTAATAGATGGTCCTTTTCTAGAAAGATAAAGGAGGTGTGCAGGTTAGTGAAGGAGAGAACAGTGCCATGTTGTATTCAACAGTGTTGTACTTTTTATAGACATATTCCTTCATGGTTTTTTTTAAGAAACAGTAATTCAAAGATTGAGGTACTCAACTGTTCTATCAAGGGTTGGGTTAGCCCTTTTTCTGAGGAGGCTTAGGCACAAAAAAAGGCTAGAATGAATTCCTATTGATATATCAGTGGCATATATCTGGATATTTCATACCTAAATGACTTTCTAAGCATAAAACATCATGTAAATGTTTGCTGTGTACGTGTGTAAATATAGGTCTTTGCCTACACATGTACTGTCTGAAATGCTAGATATACCTAAATTTGTTCCAGCATTGCTTTCTAAAATACCACAAATACTTTAGCAATGTGCACAATGTAAAGCTTCTTACCTTAATGTAAAACTGACTACAGTTAACTGGATTTTCTGTAATCTAACTGTTGCCATGCATTCAAGTTTCGTGATTAACAAAAAGAAGGTAGCCTTCATAAAGAAAATGAGGGACAGACCTCAAATGTGTTTCTGAAGTCACTGAACTTCATCAAAGTGAATATCCTAGTTTTGATCTGTATTGATAAACTTCAGTTGTCACGGAGATTAGCAGTATAGAGAAGATCTGTTGGCTTTGGCCAACTCTCCTTATGAATTAACCATGGCTTTAGATGTAGTGTTGTATCCTTTATCAGGGCAGTTTACTTATTGGGAAAGATAATGGTTTTGGAGATTCAGATAATTTTTCAGAAACCTGAAATTGCAAGCTAATGTGGGACCTTCCAAATAAGACAATTCTGGCTGTTTTCCATTTCCCTCCCTCATTACTCATAGCTAAGTTTGTTGTTTTGAATGCATGGGTAGGCTGAAAGATAGATTTAGAATTTTATTTGTCCCCAGATCAGTTTTCACCTTTGTTTCTTTGACTTGGTTACTTAGTTTAAAGATAAGTGTGGAGTAGAAGCAACTCGTCATGCAGCAGTTGTTGCGAGACTGCAGACAATGGGGAATAATTCTGACATCTCTGATCTTGAATGTGCTTTCAATTTACATCAAAGCTTGATGCACACCAACATCCATGGTCTTCCATTTACCTTTTGCTACCATTTACATTTTTGACTCTACCATATGAGAACAAAAGAAGTTTATTTTCCCCTCAGTGTCTCTGCTTCTCCTTGACATATTGATTTCTTGTGTCTCACTTCAGCAACTAGCATGCTTCACATCCAGTGGTTTTATTTTTACATCTGAGGAATTATTAGGGTGTACTCCAAGCAAGTACATAGACTTTAGAGCCTGGGGTATGGAAAGGACATGAAAGATGGTGCTGTCACCATGCAGAAGGATTTTTTGATCTGGAAGGTTGAACTTCTCATGAGGCTTTTGTAAATAACACTGTTCATAAAAGGAAATGTGTAGTGCAATCAGGTAACTGGTTAATTACCCAGGAACAAATTCTTCCTGTCCTGGAGAGTACAAGTATGTGCTCAAAGGCCACTAGGTTACAGTGGTTTAATATGGAATTAAGTTTTAGTGAAGGTGGCTGAAACAACTGTATACTACCTCAGGATCAGCCCAATCTGAAGTTGTGCATATGGTTCGCATCATAGCCTTAGCAACTCGTTTGCTGTGCACCTGTATCATTACTGACAGATTTCCAAACTGTAATCCCTCTTACATATTTCCAATGAAAACACAGGACTGTTTCAACTGATGAAATTTCTGCAAGCCCAGGCCTATTCAACAGAGGCAGCATTCTCTTTTTTCATTAAGGAGGGTTTATAGAGATGGGTTGAAACTTGGGATGGTTGTCTGCAGGGATGTCGCATAACATGTAAGGCAGGTGAGTCAAAGCAATGTAGCTGAAGCTTCGGAGCTGCAGATGATATAAACTCAGTATAGCCAGACCAATGCTGAGCTCTGCCAGCTGACAGGACTAAGACATGTATAATGCTTGAAAATCCACTTCTTAAAGAAGATTGTGACAATAAATACTCTGTGGGTTTTGCTTCTTTGTTTCTTTTAAGGATAATGAGTTAATCACATTGTAAGGTATTTTATGTCTGGATTTGGACATACATATTCTTCATTTCAAACAGTAAATGTATACTCAAAACCATTTAAGAACTTCATTTGGTGTGGTACGTTTTTCCCACTAAACAAGCTTTTGTCTTCTACACTGCAGTTACGTTACTGCACCTCCATCAGAATTATTCCATAATGCATGACATTAGCTTATGCTCTGGAGTCACTGAGAATAATCTAGCATGTTAAAATAGGATCTCCAGAGTTAAATGTAAAGGAAGGATAATGACATTTAACCTTGAAGATACAGTTCATTTAAGGACTGTTTTGATGGAAGTATTCTGCTCTCTACTGCCAGCTTTCTTCCCTAGAGTACAGCTAAATATTAGAGCTTTATCTCTTCATTATTTTGTCTGGGTGTAATAATAGCTTTCTCCATCTTTTGTATGTCAGCCCTATAGAAGTTAGCAATCTGAATGAACAGTGTAGACATGATTTTTGGCTCTCTTTGATCTTTCTGTTCTGCCTTCAAGGCTCAGATCTGTGCAAAGATCAGAACTATTGGACAAAAAGTTCCAGTTCAAATTAATATTTGCTAAATATTCATTTTTAGCCACAGATATAGTCTGCAAGCAGTAATTTGGCTTCAGCCTTGGGAGAGGTGATAGTGGTTTCCTCATAGACATACTGTTTCTGTGTCAAATTATTGTTGTAGTTACCATACTAGCTTTCAGTTACAATAGGTTAAATTTAGCTTTGATGGAATTAAAAGTACACTAGCGTAAAGTTTATAGAGGACATTGAATGTCATCTGTATTGGGGGAGCTTTGTAAACTATAGAGACCCTCACGAGGTGTCCTATATACATCCTAGATTTTAGTGTGACATTCATTGACTTTACAAGTACATAGACAAAAAAATATGTAAATCTCATGTTCCCCCAAGTCACTGAAAAAAAAACCAAAACAAGCCACTGGGCTTTGTAAGACACACCTGCTCAAAACAGTGAAGAGAAGCAAAGCTGACCTGTCACATGTTAAAGTAATGCAAGAGCCCTAAAAGTTAGAGAGAGACCAAAAAGGTGAAAGAAAACTGCTGTCATCCACTCATGTCAACTGATTTTAATATATTTTGGACAAGGACAGTAAAGAAGACGTCAGACATCCTCCTCATTTTTTTTACTTTTTATTTTTTTTCCAACTTGTTTTCAGGTTATTTCCTAATATCAGAAGATGATCCTGGAATACATCACACCCCTTTGAGAAGTCAGGGAAAGTTCTTTTGATTTGGTGGTGTTAGCAATGAAAAGTAGAGCTATAGGTAACAAGACTACGAATTCTGGACTTGTTTTCAATTAAAGAGATGAGAAACAGAGTTGTCTTTCTTTCATGAAGAGCACAACAGTGTTTGGACTTTTAGCAAGACAATATGGAATCCACCTAGGTCGTAGAATCATTAAATAGGGTTGGAAAGGACCTTAAAATCAACTAGTTCCAACACCCCTGCCATGGGCAGGGACACCTCACACTAGACTGTGTCACCCAAGACTCTGTCCAACCTGGCCTTGACCACTGTCAGGCATGGAGCATTCGCAGCTTCTTTGAGCAACCTGTTCTAGTGCCTCACCACCTTTACAGTAAAGAACTTTCTCCTTATATCCAATCTAAACTTCCCCTGCTTAAGTTTTAACCTGTCACCCCTTGTCCCATCGCTACAGTCCCTAATGAAGAGTCTCTGTCCAGCATCCTTGTAGGCCCCCTTCAAATAATTGTGCTTGGCTCCTTCCACCGTCAGTAGAGATCTACACACTCCAGAGAATAAAATTCTCAGTACAACTTCTTTCATTCTTCATGAATTCTTCAGTCATGTTTAAAATAGGTAAAATAAATCTCACTTCATGGTCTGTTTCTCACCACTAACTGCAAGGCTAGCAGGGTGACAAGGTAAAAGGCATACAGCTATATTAGTAACTTCAAAAATTAGATGAGACGGAACTAAATAACAACTTTACTGAGAAGCATCCCTGCTTATTCTGTGTCTGGATGAGAGGGCTAAATGAGTCTGCTTGCACACAGTGGATCAGGGCCTGCAGTCACTGCAGTGGTATAGAATTGTATAGTCTGTTTCCTGCTCGCAGAAGAAGTTCAGTTTTACAAACCATTTACATCTGATCTGTAAGTCCAGGGCTTTTGTAAATGCAGTTGGTGTTTTGGCCTGGAAACAAGTTTAGCTTCAGGAAATCATTAGCTATTGATTAGCAAGGTGAGGAAGTCCCTCAACCTACAGCTGTATAGATCCACTTTCTTTTTTTTTTTCTCTCTCCCATGCAATCTTTCTACTTTTATGTTGGTTAACCTTTTACTGTATTTTCAGTACTTTATTTTATTAATTTGTTTTTACATTTCTTCTCCTATTACTACATGGTTACCTATCCTATTTGTAGTGAGTTTACGTAGAATTACTTGAGCAGGGTGCACAAAGATTCTCAATGAGGCACAGTTTTAATTTGCATGAATCAAATCCTACCTTACTGTGTTTCCCAAAGGACTCCCCTTCAGCACATTCAGAGACAACCCACAAACTCTGCCATTCCCTGTGTTCTATTAGTGAAGTCAAAACCCTGATAATTTTCATTATGGATCTACATGGCCTTAGTAATAGAGCATAACTTCATTCCCCTTAATCAAAATGCTAATCTTATTTCTCTTAAGCACCTCTGAGAAACCTACAAAGTCTTTACAACTGCATATTTGCAGTAATTTGCAATTACTTTTGCCTCAAATTTGTGTACTCTCTCATTTGCATCAAATTGCCAGATTCTAAGGTGTTTAGTCTGACAAGATGGTCGTCAGCCACTATAATACATCACTCATTTAATCCTTGGAATGTTTAACTTTTTCTTTCCCCTTCCACCCTAGCACCCTCCCTCTTCCTCCCAGATGCAGCTGCAGTCCATGCACAGGACACATGCGGTGAGACTCAGCTTGTTTGCCTTTAGCTGTCTAAAGTCTCGTATTTAATCTAAGCAGTCTAGTTGTCGTCTATGGTCAATCTGAGAGACCGGGGCACTTCCATAAGACAATGCATCCCATGTGTCTTAGATGCTTTTGTTACACAGGTCAGTGCAGCCTCTGGAAGCACCTGTTTTTTTCCATGGTTCAGTAAGTTGAAAGTGATAGTTCAGTTTAAATTAATCTTAGATGCATATAGGTAGATGTGACCAATTCCATTCTGTGTGTGCCTACAGAGATCTGAGGATCCTGCCCTAATTCATGTAGTGTTTTGGTATCCATCATCTCATTTATATTAATTTTCTCTTATTTGGCTATCTTTTCTGACTTCCCATTACTTTCTGGTTCCTCTGTCTCTTCTGTCTTTCTCTCTTACCTTCCATCAATGTTTCTACTTTGATAATAATTAATTATGTAAATAAATAGATATTAAAAAAAGGTTGGGGGGAGAGGAACTTCTATCAGTTCTGTGCTCTAAAGATTTTGGGTCACTTTACAATGTCTAATATCAGAGAGATATTATTCTACCTAATTTAGATAGGATGCAGAATAAATGAAAACAGCATTAAAATATTACTGTTTTCCTAAGAAGTGCTAGCAAAGTTTTCTATCACAAGCCCATGTGTAAATGTCCCCTCACTGGTTGGGGAACAGCAATTAATTCATAGATACAGTTTTCAAAATGAAGTCTGTACTTTTTGATAATTCTAGCAAATATCAAGTGCTGTCATGTTAGGTATACTCACTAGAAAAACCTATAACCAATCCCTACCAAATAAAACAGGGCATAAGCAGTAAAGGAAACATGGGTGGAGTTTTTTTTCTAGATTACCATGGCAACACTCAGCATGTCACTGAAGAACAGATCCTCAGCACCCCGCAACTAAGAGTTTACAGTGTGAATATTGATTTTTAGATATTTCATTTTCAGGTTATGTACCTTAAAATGCCTGTACAAGCACTGTTTTTCAACACATGCTGAGCAGCCCTCTTGTAAAAATTGGCATGATAAAATGTATTTCAGATCAGGTCATCAAAAATGAGTGAGACACTAAAAATCCATAGTTGTTTCTGAAAGTCTCAGTCGCAGTAAAAAAGAAGTATCTCTAAAACTTCTCTTCTTGTTTTTGATCAGTCTTAGCTGACAACCAATGCACAACTCAGCTCTGTGAAAAACAGGCAGTGCAAAATTTACCTCACAGAAGTGATACTGTAGAAGGAACAGTCATTTTCATATATATATCCTCTGCATCACCCAAGAAATGAGACTGATTTTGCAAGTTGAAACATGATTATTACGTCTATTTGCTGGATGTGTATGTACATGCCACAATACTGTGTTCATTCCAGCTCTTACACTGTAATCCTTAAGAACGATGCTGTTGTCAGGTTTTGGTTACCCAAAAGGAAAAAACCCAAACAAACCCAAAACTCTAGTAAATGGGATTGGTTTAAAGGATTTAGCAGTAGTGAGAAATTAAATTTATTTTTAATTTATTCTATTTTGTTGTTCAGTTTATGAGCTGCATCTTCCATCTATAGTTAGGCAAAAACAAATCTTAAACCATTCACATTATCAGAGCAACAGAAACAGAGTTTGATTTATTTGAATAAACTTAGATGCTTGCCTTGTAGGCAATAGCTTCAAAAAATCACCATATTGTCCTTTATAGTCAATGGAGATTTAGTCAGGGTAGTCATTGGTGTTTGCATTGTTCATCCCATCCTAAAGTGAACATTTAAAATAGAACAGCTATACCCTGACAAATAAGTGTGCATTTCTCTCTCAACTACTTATTCTCTCTGATGATTCTCAAAGGATCAAGGATGTCCACTTTGCATAGACATCTGTACTGTAAATGTCGAGCCTTCCCTGAAGTGAATCTCACCAAGATAACCATATGTAGAAAACAAAACAAAAATCTCCTGTTAACAAGAAATTACTATTTTCAATTCTCATGTTTTTCAGCCCATCATAACAGATACAAAATCTCTTACAAGTTCCCTCAAAATGCTTTGTTGTGTTGTTTCAGATTACCCTTCTTGACAGCTGATTTAAAATAGCCTCTCTCTGGCTAGTTGTAAATTTAAGCATCTCTTTCTCCATTGCAGCTCTTCCAAGAATGCAACATGTAGAGATCATGGTCCTGGTCCATAATATATGTGCCTACTTCTTTTATGACCATACCTGTCCTAGTGTGTGTGTCAAAAAATAAGCAGTGCCTCTGAATTGAGAGAGCCAGACAAGCGGTTTCCATGCTGACTGCCCCATCCCATGCGTCACGGAAGCTGGGCAAAAAGAGTGCTTTGGTGTCCTTACTAACACTCTTCACTAATAGAAAGGGATCCACACTGCATTGTGTACTTACATGTGAAAATAAGGAACATCTGATCCAACTTCATCTTAGATAAATCTCCATCCTACAAGTTTATGTTGCTGATTGTTCTCCGAAAGTGTACAGTCAACTTTCATTTAATATACTGTTCTGTTACCCTTTGTATACTAGCAGACTGCAGAAGTTGTGTGTATTTTAGATGCGTAAAGCTGCTGGCCTGCCTCCAAGCTGTTCAATCTTTGGTTTGTCTGTGAATCAACACATCGCAATTGCCAGAGACAGTCAGTGCATCTTAATCTTTTTTTGTTTATTTTTGCTTCAGTCAAGCAGCTGGTTTGTGCTGTAATTTCATTCTGTCATGTCCGCTTTCCATCTTTGTGATGTGTCTCATAAAATGTGTTAAAAGTGACCTACCTTGGCCTGTTCACAATATGCTGAAAAAAATGCTAATCTTGTCATATTTAGCAGCTGCGTTCAGAAATGCTACTGTAAGCCTAAGAGGGCTAACCAGCACTCTTGCAAGATGTCAGAACTATCAACCATTACCCTGTAAGTGTACGCAATCCTGTGACATTACTGTGTTTGTATTACGCATGCTGCAAGTAAATGAATGGATATTAGCAGAGGGGTAACAAACAGAAAGCAGTCATTCATTTAGTTCTTGTTGCATGTAGAATATTCTCTTGTTCTGTGCTTTTGCTGGTGCATCACAATCAAGGATTTAAGGTGGTTTTGTTTGTTTTGGTTTGGGTTTTTTTAATTTTTTGATTATTGCTGATGCTGCTTATGGTTTTGGGTAGTGTCTGTATAGAAAATTAATAGTTGCTGTTTATGACACAGCAAAGAGGTGAGCCCTGGTCATACCGAGAATAAATGTTTCACCTGAAAATTTGGTAGAACAACAGCAGCAGTGCAAGAATTGAGTGAATCAGACTGTCATCTGGAGTAAAAATCAAACTTAGTGAAGTTATGTTAGTATAGACCCCACGGGTGAGGAAAGGCTGAGGTTAAACTAGTATCAAAATATTATGTGTCTAGCCAAAAATCATAGTCAGAGATTTGCTTATGGAGAGCGAGGTGTCTAGAAAAGAGAATAAAAGCCATTTAGTCTAGACACTTGTGAATTAATCACTTTCTCGTAGTGCACCTCAGTCTCTGTTACTTGTAAAAGAAAAACAAACAATAAACGAACAAAGAACAACACATTTTAAACATGAAAATAAATTTTCTTTGTGATTTTACATCTCCCCAAGGTATTTAAGTAATAGTCCAATGAGGATACTCAAAAGATTCAGTCAATAGACTGACACTGCAAAAGCAGATGGAAGAAACAGAGAATAGAACAGTGAGCAGATCCATGTTCTACATTGAGAAAAGCTGAAGTCTAAGAAAGTTAGGTAAAATTAGGACCTCCAGAAGAGATAGTTTGAAATATGAGGTACATTACTTAATCTACAACCTGGTGCAGCATGGACTTCATGTTGGTGTTTTGTAGAGAAACGAATTTCACATTAAGTGCAGAGTTTCAGAAGGATGTCAGACTGGCAAATCTAAGGTGAAATCTTTTACCTAGTCAATGGCAAGAAGAGTTCAGTCTAAACAGGAGCCCAGAAAATTATCTGAACATTTCTAATCAATATACTTAATCCTGCCAGCAACCTTCCACTGCTTTTGAAGTCCTTAGTCTGAAAATGTGATTTATGCATGGGAAAATTAAAAAGCTGTAATTGCTTGCTGTGTTTACGTATTACTTCAGATCTTTGAAAACAATCCTAAAGACCTAATTAAGCTTTTGGAAAATGCATATATCTGTCAGGAAGATTACTGAGGTTCCTGAAAGTCACGTTAATTATGTTTAGCATCTTTGTGATGAAATAGATACTTTGGTTTATTAAACATGAGCTATATTAAGCATTTCAGTATTAATGACATCCTGTATCTTCATGGTTTGCCCTTTTATCTTTCTATTTTAAATATTGTCATGATTATTTTTTGCACATATTTATCACTGAGTTACAGCCAAAGATGGAATTCCTCTAATCTAAACTTTACAAGCCTACAGTGCAGCAATTTATATGCCAAACTCAGTCTAGATTCCCTCTGTAGTCAATGGAGAGACTTAGGATGTGATAAGGCTTTTCTTAGGGACAGATGATTCATCTTTATGCCTAAGTGCCTGCTACTCTTCATAGACAACAAAGGGAATGTAGGTGTGGAAGTGATTTAAATAAAAATAGACGTCATCATTGCAAATATCTCATAACTTTAAGCTAGTCAATATATACATCAATAGATGCATTCAATACATAACCATAGGCTTTACAACAGGACACACTTCTTAAAGGGGCATCTAGAGCAATCACGAACTATGTCTTAAAAGTGCGTTTTTCTCTTCACCAGCTTTAGAGACATTATCTTAATTTCAGTATGTCTGAACCTTGGTGAGATGAATGTTGTTCTACATGAGCACAAATCTTGATGTCTCCACTGCTAAAAGTTTATATTTGACCAAATTAATTTCACTTAAGACTCAGCACTTAAACTAAACAATTCTCTTAGTTTAAAGATGCAGACCTAAGTAGCAAAAGAGCAACTACACAGTCTTTCTTCAAAGGCTGTGGTTTGAAGATCATTTGATTCTCTTGACAGTTTGTGGTATTTTGTCTAAAAAAGGTTGGGTGGTAAGAACCTCTAAGATGAAAGCAGCAAACACTGTCAGAGTAAAAATTATGCTGTATTTTATCCTTAGCTTCATACCACATCTATTAAATCTCATGTAAGTTACAATGGTTTTCTTTGAGCCACATGACTTTGCATTAGTCCAGCAGAAGCAGGTGAAGTCCAGCAGAAATGGCACAAGACACATCTTCAGTGCAGTGGAGATACCTGGATCTGATGGGAGAGTAAGCTCTAACCAACATTTTCATCTCTTTCTAAGAGACAGAAAAAAGAATGCCAACCACAAATTTCCTTACACAATTGCTTTTGGAGTTTCAGGTTCCCTGATGTTGAGTACCCATGTTTTCTGATGGTCTCCTTCATTCTTTCCAAATGGCATCATCATGTATCCAGCTCAGTGGTTCTTACAGTTGTATCTGCAGGCTCTCAAGCTAGAGATATATCTTTGTTACATCATATTCAGAGTAGCTGGAAGAACCTATTTAGACCATTTAGAAGTCATTGGTCCTTGTTCCCTATTGCACAGTTGCTCAAAATACTTTTTTTTTTTTTTCATCTGATGCACAGTTCCTGTGTTTGTTTAGGTCATGGCATTAGTCTTCTAGAAACATGTTTTAAAATGTGGAATAGGGACACACTGGAATATTCAGTTGAAATCACTGGAAATTCTACTCAGCAATGCAATGTGATGTGTATCTCCATCTCCACTTCATGCCCGGTTATGTCCTATGTGATATCTGTAGACACCTTAGCAATCTTCTTAATAAGCATGGATGTGCAGTGAAAGAATAAGGTATGGTTCTTTCAGATGCTGGTCAAAGTTAGACAACCTTTCTTCTTTCTATTCCTTTTACAATAAAGATGGGTTTTTACATAATTCAATAGAGGAGTGAGGAAAAACAGGGGACACAAGTATTTGTGTTTCTTGTATTAATACTTTATGGAAAGGCCACATTCATAGCTATGCTATTGGAGAAAACCTGATGCTTAGACTGTTTTTAGGGAAAATGGCAGATGAAAAATAGAATGTCAGCTTAAATAAAACAAAAACACGACAATGTGCATTTTTTTAAAGTTACCTAAGACATTCCTCCACTTGTTGAAATGTAAAAAAGGCTTTGGCTAGAAGTTTTGGGGAACATATCTCTCCTAAACAGCCAGTTTAAGCCTGACTGATTACTGTCCTTAAAACTTTTGGATCCATGAACCAAGTTTCTTGCTGGTCTGAAAGAGTATATGAAGAAAAGAAGATGGAAATCTTTGGCTGCTACGTGCCTGAGAATTTTGCTGTATACCTTAGCTTCTTAATTTCACTATTGGACACAAGCATACTTATCTCACAGATGCTGCTTTAAGACTTTCTAATTCTTCCTAATGCTCTTGAAAAAACATAATCAATTATGATCCACACAGTCATTAGTATCTCTCATGTTTTTCTTATCATTAAAATATTCTCTTCCTCATCTTAGATCTTAATCTATAAACTTCAGAATGTGTCATTTCTTAGATTTATGTCCTTCCTGACTTTTATGGCAATATTGAAAACAGCATCTTAAATAAGTTGATGATGGCATTGTATTTCAAGATCCTACAAACTAACTGTATGATTAATCAGATATAATTAATTCCAGAAAACTGACAGTAGAAAAAAAAATTTCCTCTGCATCTTTCCCAAAATTAATCTCCTGTGACTATGGTGAGATACAACATACTAATAGACAATTCTGTTGTGATTTTTAAATCAAAGTAATATTTATCCTTTTGTTGTCATTAATTCTGAGTATAAAGGGTAAGAGACTTTGAGAGGTGATGCTTCATTTTCCAGGTTACTACCTTAATTTGATTTTTTATTCCATGGCTAGTTTAAGATGCTTATGTTCTTTACATCCTTTTTTGTTTACAGATACAGTATTATTCCATAATCTTTTCCACAATATTTGTGTCCCTTTTCATTAATCTGATTATATGTCCATAGAGAAAAAGGACTAGAATAGACCTTGAAGGGTTTTTTAGTCCATTACATTGAATCACTTCTATATATCTTACTTTTTCCAGAGATCACCAGAGTTGGAGACTGTGTATGCTCTTCCTCAGTGAGTTCCAGGGCTGTTCCCTCTTGTTAAAGAACTTCTGGTCAATGCCCAATTTGACAATTCACAAGAATTGTGTTCTCTGGGTTATGGGGTCTTCCAGCACACTTGAGATTTGGTGTGCATTTGGTGTTCATCATGTGTGTTTAGTACAATCCCAGGACAAGGGTTGGGATGTATTTATCACCATTAGTGCACAAAACGTGACTGTGGGACACCAGCAATGGACTGATATCTCATTTCCAGTTTAGTATTGAATATAACAACATATGTTCACTGAGTTCTTGGAGATGTATTAATTAAGTCCTCACTTTCAGTAAGACAAACACATCATTTGGGGGATTTTGTTGAACATGTGTTATCAGATTCAGTGTGTCTGCAACATACCATGTAGATATAAGCAGAGTTTACATTTGAATTTTTAAAAGTATTCTCTTCCAAAAATATGGCTTTTTACCTTCCTTTACATTCCATCTACCTCCTTAACTTGCTTGAAGGAAATCAGTCTTACTTTTTCCCCTTTGAAAATGTCCTGGAGGTTACTTTACTTTGTTTATAATAAAACACTTGCCTTATTTTCAGATCAACATTTGCATTCCCTTGGGTCTTTTTTGCTGCTCAATCAGCAAATGACACTGACCAAGACGTACATAAGTCTTGGCTGGATCCCTGCTTTTGGGGAATTACATCCATACTCAGTTAAGTGCTTACAGGGACACACGCTCATTTCCAGCCCTTTTGTTTATGCTTTGTTTAATTTCCGTCTAAAATCTATTTATTCTGATGCCATGGAAAATAGTTACACAGTGGAATTACACTTAAGTTTCCAGGAGTATAAATGAGATCAAAATCAAGGCCTTGGAGAATAGTCATGAGTATAAGAACATACAGGGCATTTTAGCTTTATTTGTATTGCTGGTTTGGATTGTTTTTCTAAGTAGAAATAAATTCACACATACACACAAAAAAAGTGATTTCAAACACTCCATTGGAATTAAGCAGTTGGGTGAGAGGTTTATTATTGTGTTGTGGTAGCAGTCTGAATCCCTTAGCAAGATTAATCTCCTCATGTTTGGCATGGTAGGAAAAAATATTGATTGTAATAATGCAAATTAAAATAACAGTACAAAGTATTAAGCATTACTAGTGCTATTATTGTAGCAGTGTGAAGAAGTGGGAGCAAACTACAGTGTGTGTGAAATCACTGTTTGGGAACAAATGGGAATATTGTATATTTGTTTGTATAATTATCCAGTGTATGTATATCCCAACAGACAGGCAACAAAATATTTTCTGTGTTTTCTTCTTTAATTAAAGCACAAGTTGTTTATTACAAGGCTGCATTAAAGTTCTTTCACTCTATTATAACAGGAGACTGGCTCGCTCTACACTACTGCTTATCCCCTTGTTTGGAATTCACTACACGGTGTTTGCTTTTTCTCCTGAAAATGTCAGTAAGCGGGAGAGACTAGTGTTTGAATTGGGACTGGGATCTTTCCAGGTGATTATACAGTGAATTCTGCTTCTGTTAAAAAGAAATTTCTATTTCTATTTTGCATGCACAGTTCTCAGACTGGTTGTATATGTTTTGTATACTAGGATTTTGGTTTTGTTTGTTTGTTTGTTCTAAATCCATCTATTTTCTAGCATTTACTGAAAGTTTTGAATTACTTTTTTTTTTTTCTCTCCCATTTACCTAGGGTTTTGTTGTTGCTGTTCTCTATTGTTTCTTGAATGGGGAGGTAAGACTTTTAATATTTTACCTCCCCCACTCACCATCCCCATCCCATTTCCTTGTGGGAATAACCACTCTTCTAAACCTTCACTGTAATTCATTGTATGCCATATTCCCTAATACCTTAGGCTGAATCTCACAGGGTCTCAGAAAAAGAAAGAAGATGTGCAGTGTCTTTATTAAACCAAAGTATTGGCCTTGCCAGAAATGATGTCTCAGATTAATGTTTGCTAACAGAGATAGGAATTGTACTGGTTTCTTTAGGTATGTCATCCCAGGTGCAGGACTTCGCTCTTTGTTAAAATTCATGCAGTTCTTGCTGTAAATTGGCTTTCCCTGTGAAATGTCCACCTCACCACCCAGATTGGTGTTATCAGCCATCTTTGGTGAGGGTGCTTTCAACCCCATCATTCAGGTAATTTATAAAGATGTTGACGAGCATGGACTTCAGCATCCATCTCCGAGTACCCCACTGGTTGAAGTCTCCCAGCCTGAGTAAAAACAGTTGTCACCTTCTGATTGTGGCCTGTTAGCCAATTTCCTGCCCATTTTGCAGGCTGCCTACCTAATCTATGTCTTGCCACCTTGCCTAGGAGGAGACCGTGGGAAACAGTGTCAAATGCTTTATTGAAGTCCAAGTAAACACTGTCAACTGCTCTTTCCATGTCATCAGAAAACATTTTCTTATAGAAGATGATCGTGCTAGTCTGGCATGCCTTTGAGAAATCGTTGCTGGCTTTTCCCAATCACCTGCTTAACTTGGTTTAAGATAGTTTATAGGAGGTCTTGTTCCATTGTTTTCCCAGAGCCTGAAGGGGAGGAAGAGAGAAAGAGGGAGAGGGGGAGAGAGAAGGAGAGTGAGAGTGAGAAGGAGGGGCAGAGATGCCATGTCCTGTTGCTGATGATGTACCAAGCAGATGCCATGCCCTGTTGCTGATGTTGCACCCAACAAATACCATACCCTGTTTGCATTTCTGGTTACTAGCCATCCCCATGAGACAGTTAGGTGTGGCTTCCCACAGTTTAACCTGGCCGTGGAGACAGCTGGCACCACAGAACTGTTGCCCACTCTTCTCATGAGACCTGACTTTTACCAGCTGGCCCCTCCATACATACAGCTCAATTGTGTCAGGTGCCCAGAAATGCCCTCAGACGTTGCCTGGGTACCTTGCAAGCCTCACACTCCTCTCAGCGCATGGCAACTGCTGCTGCTAGCATCAGTGTTCCACTTCACCCACTCTGATCTGCAAATTGACATCCCCCTGCCTTTGTTTATCAGACTGAATACCTGAGGTAACTGTTTTCTGTATAAATGGAAAAAGAGTCCCTCATCAAGGCTTCCCTAAGATGAATATCTACAGTTCATCCATTCTCTGTTCCACTAATACACATCTACTGTGCAGTCCAACAGAAGACTTGTCTTAAAAGCACCTTTAGTTTTCAAGGAGCCTGAAACTATTTCTTTCTACCAGTTGTAGTGCAGTACGTTTTTTATGCTCGTTTACATATAGCATGCCATAGCTGCTCTCTTGTACAAAAGGTCTCTAACCCCTTGATCCAAGTGATTCCTTTGCAGATAGCCATAACAATCTCCAAGTTTATCAAACAAATTTATAGGTCACCTTTGCTCATGGGCTTATCCTGTTAAAGGACCCACAGGTCTGTTAAAGCATTATTCATAGTTTGGTCCCAAGAAGCTCGGAAGGTGAGTTCAGGATCATGACTTTCTGGAATTAATGGCATTAGTGTCATTCATACTTCACCAGCTGACATTACTGGATAGACAACTCTCTCACCGACAGCTGTTGTTTCATCTATTACCTTCCATGAGTGCTAAAAAAATAACCAGAAAGTCTTGTCTAAAACTAATCTGCAGATAAGCACTTTCCAAGGTAACATGTGGAGTGTGTCAGATTTCCTGTAACCATTTGGAGGGAATGGGTTGATGGTTTTTAGCCAGACTAGTACAACCAAATTAATTGAAACAATTTTATCTCTCAAGACATTAGAGAATGTCTTGTGATCCTGCAAAATTATTTAGGTAAGAAAGGGTTCACCTTTGGTATATTAACATTGCTTAATATTAATCTCTAGATATTACTCTCTTAACTATCTGTATTTTGCTGAAAATAGGAATTGAGAGGTAGTAGAAGGAGAATATAAGTTTTCCAGTTGGATTTTTCCTCCCTGTAGTTTGTGTATATACAATTGAACCACTTGTTTAGCATTTTGGCATATGCTGATTCATTTTGATAACTATATTAGTCTAGGAAAATCTAGTGATGATTGTTAAAGACAAGAACTCAGCAGCTGATTGGAGACTGAAAAAAAATATATGAAGAAAAATATCTGTACACATTTACTTGCTCTTACACTGTTTCATTGAGTAATATGCTACTGGCTACTGTCAGGAGTGAGTAATAGACTGAGCAAATGTCGGTCTAGTATATTTCTTATATTAAATCCTTACTATCTTATGTGTATATATATATACATACATGTACTTTTAGCAGGATTTCCAGGAAACTGGTGATGAATGAAAAGTGGAAAAGCTATATAATTATTTGCTTATTTTCTAATTGAAATTCTGACATGAATTGTTTTACTATTGGTGACTTACCGTGGATGCCCATGAAAAAAATCTCAAGGAAAAGGAGGCTGTCACAGATGTATATTAGTCCAAGAGCTATTGACTGCTTAGAAGTGATGTGAAAGCAGGGCACAAAGTTTTCAATAGACATTCAGCCATTAATGGCAGGTGAGAGACAAGCTCCCTCTGTGGAAAGGTTATTTCATTTCTTGTCTAGTACCTTTTGGTTGCTGGTTTCTTTGGCTCCTTGTTATGTATTTGCTACTGGCTGTTGATGAAAACAGGATATTCTTCCAAGAAGATAGCTCAAGAGCTATGTTGGAGTTGGTGTTGAACAGGTCTTCCATGCACCTGTGGGCTGATACTAAATTCTTTGAAGTCAGAGACACAGAGCCCAGGCTGTTGTTCCCACTGCATGCATGGACCTCTTCCATACATGGGGAAATCACTTCAGATTTTGCTGAAGTGAGGAGTTTAATAATAGTCTTAAAGATAATTCTGTCAAATTGGCGTTTTTTTCTAATCTTGATAGTTTGTCAGCATGTCCCTCGAGCGGCTAAGTACATAAAAAATGACCTTTTGAAGTTTCTCCCTAAAGGTGCAATCAGAAATAAAGAGAAAATGGAGGAGCTGGAAAGTCAACCGGTATTTTGCTGTGGATTTCAAACATCGTCATCCTTCTCTAGCGAGCAGCGGAGTGAACGGGGGGACACAACTCTCCATTCTGAGCAAGAGCAGCTCTCAGATTCGGATGTCCAGCATAAATGCAGAGAACCTAGCGACATGAGCAGCTAAAGAAAACACATCAGTCAACAAGCAAACCAAAAACCATCCCTTAAAAAAAAAAAATCATAGTTTTGGTGGTGGTGTAGGCCTTTTTCCTTTCCTTTCCTTTCCTTTCCTTTCCTTTCCTTTCCTTTCCTTTCCTTTCCTTTCCCTTTTCCCTTTTCCCTTTTCCCTTTTCCCTTTCCCTTCTTTTACTTTCCTTTGTGATAAAAGCAAAGGAAATGTGTGTATATATATCTTTTTAATAATCACTGTAAATACCCAAGTGTACTCAAGGCCATTAACAGAAAAATGTTTAAAAGATAGCCAAGCCTACCCACTCCATGATTTATATTTCAGAGCATCTGCAAGTAATCCGTTGTCAGTCAAAAGTAACAGTGATTGCGTGCAGTTGTGATCCTTGGTTGCCAAACTGATACTAATCTGTGAATGGACATGACCACTGTTATTTTTAATATTGCTTTCCATTTTGGTTTGAATTGACTTTTTTTTTTTTGTTCTAGTCAAACATATCTTAGTGTGTCCCTGTCTTTTGGCATGTGAATTTCTGCAGTGTTTCTCTTTTGAGTCTTAGGATGGAGCTAATATGCTTGGGTTAATCTAACCAGCTGATTCAGGAAGAACTCCAGAAAATTAAGTTCATGGCTGGATTTAGTCAAATGTTTCCTGTGGACTTAAAGAAAGTTCTGTGCCAATGTGGAGCTGCATAGCTACCATCAATCAGTGTGGGGACTTCAGGCAAGAGAGATGGGATCAGCTTCTTCCTTACCCAGGGACACTTGTAAGAAAATGTTCTTTGTTCTAGCTAAGCTGTGAATTTTCTAAAAGGGCCATGTAGTTGAGATATATCTATATTTTTGGCATTAATTGATTGATGATAGATTATTTGGATTCTTTACATAATAAAAATAACTGACGCCTCCCTCCCACCTTAGGAGCAAAAGTCAGTTCCAGGGTGGCCTTTCCCTCCAGATAACCTTGAACCTTCTGCATCTGTGTCCAAATGTGGTACGGTTTCGGGTAGTGCTGTCAGAGTGTGGTGCCTTTGCAACCTGGTTGACTTCTGTGTGTTGACTTTTCCTTGCCATTACAAGAGGCACAAGAAGGATCTGGCATGATCATCCTGGAATTTGGTGAGCAATTAAATTGAACAATACAATGGCATAGAAGGAAAAGTTAAAAGACTTTGTATGACTTCCCACACCTGGCAGTTTTCTCTCTTTTTGGATATTCTGTTTGTTTAACCACCAGTGGTCTTACTGCTTTTCTTTGAGAGGAATTACTCTCAACCTTTGCCTTTTAGCTAAAGCCACGACTGGTACTTATCTACTTCAATTAAATGTCAGTGATGTCAATTCTTGAAAGTCTTTATACAGTGCATAAAGGCTTTGAGGACTGTCCTAGTGCTCACTTCATTTTGGATTTATGAACTGATATATATATAAATATATATATGTGCATGTATGTGTATGCATATATATAAAAAAAAAAGTCAAAAATGAAAATGACACTTTAAATGTGAAGTTTTGAACTGAAACTAATAGTAACCAGGAAATTTAAAATTCAGGCTTGTTCTTTGGTGTTAGTTGACAGGATTATGATCTAAAAAAATAAATGAAAGACTCAGAATTTTAGTGTCAGCTCACTGTAAGCTTTTAATTTTACTGACTTTTGTTTAGGTAAAAAAAAATGTCATTTTAATCATAGGTTTTAAAAAATAATACTAGTTTCCTTGTTTTTAAAAGGAGAAAAAATGGGTCTCAGAAAGTTGTGAAATAAATATTAATAAGAATAATAATTAACACATATAGTGTTTTATGGGCAAAAACTGCTCTCAGTTGTAGTAGTGTAAATGAATGTAAAAATAATTTGAAACAGGCAGAAATGTTGACTGATGTCATATTGGTACGGGATCATGCTCTTATGAGACACACCCATGTCAGGTGAAATCTACCCTTGCTGGGAGGACCAGCAAAACAGTTTAAATAATTTACATTTCACTCCAGTTTCTTCAGTGAGAGTTCTATGATCCAGATATATATCTTTATTTTTTCAAGTCTTTGCACTGGTTTGCTGCTCCAAGAGCAGGATTTGTCCCCTTCTGCCAGACTCCCTGCAAAAGTCACTAAAGTATTTTTAACAGATAGATTGGAGCATCCTCTTTCATTAGCTGCTGCTAAAAGCTATTTTAGAAAGTTTCCCAAGGAAGCATGCACTTTGCAGTCCAAAAAGACATGGAAGATGGGGAAAGTGAGATCTATCAGGTAAATGCATAGGTAGACATTTTTTAAATGAGACTGTTTAATGTTAGATGAACTGATGACATTAGGTTTGTATTTTCTGTAGTATGGGCTTTCACAAAGTATTATATTAACAATAGTTTAAGTGTATTATTTAAGAAAACAAAAAATAGATTTTGCATAAATGGCTAGTAGCCAATTTTCAAGCATTAATAATTGAGAACTTTTGAGAAAAAGGCGTTGAATTCCTGTCTCTAGATGGAGACTTTTTGCCATGTTTCAGTCAAGAGCAAGAGGGCATTTGGATTTTTAATTTTGTTTCTGTTGTTGTTGAGTTTTTTTCTGAGCTTATTTCTTTATTCTGTTGTTTTCCTGGCTGTCCTGCAGTGCTCTGCAACATGAGTTGGTGGATCTCAGTCCAGTGCCTTGTGGGCAAATGTTCACAACACCAAAACCACCCTCCAGTCACGCACACCAGAGACCAGGTCCTCAGCTAAATTAAAATCGGGGGAAACTGTTGTTACTGTTAGAACAAAGCCACTTCATTTTGGCTTGGGATTTGACCTCAGCACATTGTTATAATTTTTTGGCAGCCTGAGCAGGAGATGCCAAAGACTGAATATTCATGAAAACCTGGACTTGCTCCTTAGATTTGTAAAGCCAGTGCTCAGGAGCAAGAAAAGTTGGAGGGCAGTGGAGGGAAAATTTCGCTGTGGCAGACCCTGTGTTTCGTGTTCAGTGGACAAATTAAATTCTTTGTTACCTTTCACCAGCACTGTATTTACTGGAAGAAACAGTATCTCTCTGCATATTTAATATACAATTTCTTAAGAAAGAAACCCTTCTCTCATGATTTTTTTGGTGATGATTTGAAGTGCTGATGCACTTGCAAATGTGGCTTTCCTTAGTCACTCAAACTTTCTCAGTATTAACGAGAAAGGTCATACTTCAGGTGTATATAGTTATCTAAATAAGATTCTGATGCCATCAGACAAATTAGCTCTTAAGAAATCTCTCTGTTGAATGTAACCTGAAGATTCTTAGCATGCATGGCCACCATTCACAGTGGCTGTCATTTCTATTTGTTTCAGTCTGGAAGAAACCAACAGGTGGTTCGCTTCTAGGTGTGTGTAAATATAAATTGAGTGTAACAGTGCTTTGTTTGATTTTTTCACTGTGAAACATATTTTGAAGCTCTAAAGGCTATGTTATTAAAAACAGTACATAATTAAAAGAAACAAATGTGCAGCGCTCCTTGAGCCATCTTTTTTACCATGTCCATAATGTCTTTCTTGTATAATTTTCTTACTTTGCTTTTCTAAATGTACAAAAACTTTCTGTGCTACAGCTTTTGTGACTATTTACTGTATCTAACAACTGTTTGATTATTGACTTTTTGATGTGGAGTGCTGGTACTACAGGACAATTAACATTTCATTATGAAAACTATAACCTGTATTTCAATGGACAGGGCTTGTTTCATTGCTACATGGTGACCCCACCTCCTTCTGCCTTTGCCTACATTTAGTATCTCTTGAAGTTAGAGGCCATGTAATGAAACTTAACTGTTCAGTTGTTGGAGATCTTATTTCATAGAGGAAAAATACCCAAGTTCCTCTGCCTCATTTATGTATGTGTATTTGAAAACCAGGTGTCAAAATGGGAGATGGGAGAAGGGACAGAGATAAAGGCATATGAGTCCAGAGTGAAATGCAAAAAAAAAAAGTGCAGTTTGGAAGTTAAATTCAAGCACTCTGTTTGATGTCTAGCTCCTTTTCAGCAGCTGTCCATTCCTGCAATTAAATAACTGTGTCTTGCAAATACAAGGCTAAATAACAACCAGAAGTGGGCAGGAATTGACTGTGCAGATAACTTGAAATTACATTGCAAATATGATTCTCCCTAGACTCTCTCCATGGTCAATGGCAAGTATGAGATACCTTGCAGAAAGGAATGCAGAGCAGTTCATAGAATCATAGAATCAATAGCCCAGGTTAGAAGGAACCTCGAACAACTCTCTTGCCAGTATTTCATGAGAAAGGGAGCCTAGAAGAGATTATCTACCACTCTGTCCAATCCCATCTTGAAAATCTCCAGTGATGGGGACTCACCATGTCCCCGGGCAGACTGTTGCAGTGAATGACCTTTCTCACTATAAAATGTTTCTTTCTTAGAGGTAAAACCTCTACTACTGCAACTTGTACCTATACCAGCCTCCATCCTCTTTGTAGCCACCCTTTCAGTACTGGAATACCGTGATTAGGTCCCTCCTGAGACATCTCCATGAAGAAAAGACCTAACTCCTTCAGTCTTTTCTCATTGAACAGGTTGTCCATCCCTTTGAACATCATGGCCCTCTTTTTCACCCTCTCCAGTATGGCTGCATCTTTCTTGAATTCTGGAGACCAGAACTGCACACAAAATAGTGTTACACTTACTCAAAACCTGATCTGGGAGAATTTTATTTTCTTCAGCCGTGATAAAAGGATTAGTTGCCATAATTTGCCTTCTCCATATCATTTTGTAAAATCGTGTTTTTTCATAGTATTATCGTATCAGTGATAGATATTTCTGCATATCATAATAGCTTCTGTGCTTGCATATGAAGGGCTATGCAGGACCTCCGTTTAGCTCAAAGGTTCATTTTTTTCATAAATCACATGGTCAAAATAAGTCAGTAATATGCAAAGCCATAATGATCAAGAACGAAACATATTTAGCAGAGTTAGAGCTGTTGGTCTGTGATCCTCAGGTGTTCTAGAGCAGCACAGTGCCATAAGTACACTTCATGTGAAGGAAACTGTAATTGCCATTATTTTCACAGCATATTACTCCCGCTCCTAAACTGGTCACCTCCCCTTTTAAGATTCTGTAAGTTTTTTTCTTGGATTGTTTTTTTTCACCTTCTCTTCCCACTGGAAACTTACTATAAAACTTCACTCTTCAGGCATTTAGAAACCTTTTTCTGAATTCCAGATTAAAGTAACTCCTGACTCACTTATGCTCCTTGTCACACTAATCTTGTCTTCAGTTCCCTTCTCCCTTCCTCAAATATGAACGCCTTTATTTCAAAGACTGCAAAGATTATCTTTGATCATGCAGCTGAAAGATAAGACTAAAAATAGTGGTGGTATTCAGCTGCATTTGTTTCACCTCTTTTCTCAGTTTGGGCAGCAAAAACAATGCGAAGAAGCAAATGCTGATATATGCAAATCCATTAAGAACAGCAGGAAAATCATCTGGAAGCAGTATACCAAACACCCTGAAATGTAAAGTTAAAAACTAAGAGAAAGATTTCAGTTTTTAAAAGTATATAAACAAGATTTGGGTTTTGAGCAGCTTTCATTCAGTCAGAAATAAAGGGAAGTGATCCAAATCTTCTCCTTTTCCTGTTTCAGTTACAATCTTGCAAGAGAAGTATGTTGTTTGCAGTTAAATGGATAAGACACACATTCAGCCAACATACTGCAGGAAATCAACATTCAAATGGGCAAAAACATACTGGTTGTTTCAGCTTGTGAGGTTTTGGTGCTCATGTGTCAGACACTGCTACTAAATCCCTACTAAATCTAGCCTGTGAATCATGCAGATGCCAGACTTCACATTATCTTTCCAGCCCCCCCTGCCAGAAATTAGATATAAAAATCTCAAAGGGTACAGCCAAAAAAAATACAACGAGGGTGACTTTAGTGTAAACAGTGTCAGTAAAAGAAATACAAAGATCATTCATTTAATTGGCTTTATTTGCTTTGTTATTTGAAATTGCTTTTTAGTAGTGTTTCAGAACAATTGTTTAGGGCAAAGGTTTTCAACCTGTGGTCTGTGGACACTTCAGAGCACAGACACTTTCTGAAGTGTCCTTGGAAGACATATATATAGCAATATATGCTTGTAGGGTTCCTGAAGTTTTGTTGTCTTTTGTAATTATACGAGGCTCCCACAGATCACAAGAGGTGGAAAAGTACAGCTACAAACAGCTTAGGATGAGTCACTACAAGCTGTTTTCCCAGGACAATTTAGATTACTGTTTTTTCAGCTTTTTACCCATAGCAAAGACCTCCAGTCTTTGATGAACTTCTCAGTGCGTCCCATCCAACATCCACTTTGACAGATAACAACAGAAGGGAATTGGTGAGGAAAGCATGACCACTATTAGTCAGCTGACATCACAGGGAGTATCTATATCCCAATATTACAGAAGGACCAGGATGAAAAAGCAGTGTAACCAGGTCTCTTTGTAGCCTTTTCATAGCCTGTGAATCATTTGAGAAGACACAGGTAGAACAGATACCACAATCTGAATGAAACTATTGTACTTGCCCTCTGTTCTCAACATCAACAGAAACATTCAGGCTGTGATTTCACAACCGCCATGAAGTCCTATGAAGCCTTCTCATATGACAAAGCACAGGATCCTGTTCCATTCAATGGATGTACCTAGGAAGTTCAACAAATAAAGCTTTTCCTCCTTGGTTTGATTGTGTGATTTCATGATATTAAGACTTCCTTCTTTGTTCTGAGATATTCTCATGTGGGCAAGGATTCTAGAGAAATGTAGGATGATTAAAATCATCTGCTACATGACACTGCAGAGACATAAATATGACTTCAAGAGAGCTATTATAGCATGAAAGGTCTAAGGGGAAGCAAGAGAGGGTACTAGGAGCAGATAGAGCAGGATGTATGGGACATCACATGGGATCCTGCTTGGCCTCCAGCTGCCAGACAAGATAACTGTCTTCTATAGCTCACAGACCCAGTGAGGTCTGTGTGGATATCTAGGAAATTGAGATAAACTCACTGGGCAGGACTGTACTCCAAACTCGGATAGCTAGACTTTCATTTCTATGTGAAGGCAAGGTCTCTTGGACTCCTCAGTCTACGACTGCAGAAATTTACATAATGCAAAGATATCTGGGTTTACCTGATTTTCTGTCTTAAAGAGTTGAATATCAAGGGCTATACTGAATATGTTTCCCTTTCAACATCCAACACTTTCAGTATTAGGTATTCTGGCTCATAGGCAGGATCCCGTGTCACTAAGCAGACAGCTATGGAGATATCTACATCACTTAACTTTAGACACCAACAGTGAAGATATCTTCCTTTGATCTAGTTTCTCCAGTTTGCCTTTGTAGTCAGAAGAGAGAAACAAGCAATTTTAGAGTGCAAGCATCAAACATATTTCCCATATCTACTGAAAGGTGAGATCATTCATATTTTGCAAGGATCTGTTTCTTTCCACCAGGAAGTCTAGCTGACCAGATCAGAGACATGTTGACACTGTGGAAGTCTACATGTAGATGGCTTTTCCCCTGGCAACTTTGCCCTGTCAGTGTGTTCTGTTTCATGAATGCTGAGAAATAATGCTCTTGAAAAGCTTGGGGGTGACTTCTGTTAGATATTACCAACCACATTTGGGAAAGGTGCATGCCTAATAAAGACTTAGGTCTCACCAAGAATAATTTTCAGGAAATCTTATTCTTTCTGTAAGATTATGTCCACATGACCAGCACTTCTGTGTCCAGAAACAAACCATGGTACATAGTGCACCTGCTCTGAAAAAAGTTGGGATTTTGCCCTCTGCTTTTAGCAGTCAGTCACATGCAACCAGTTCAGAACTGCATTTAAGAGTAACATTAGGAAGATATGGAGTATTCAGTAGTAGCTAATGGTGCTCTGATGTTAAGCTCCTTATCTGTTAACCGTATCTGTACTAAAGAGCTAAGTTCGGCTAAATACACATCTTACTTTGTGTATGAAAACACACCAGCAGAGCTTGAGCAATGTTTTGAACCTTGTGGTCGTTCACCTTCCTATGATTAAATTTACAATTTCCCATTGGCTTTCTTTTGGGGAATTCATCCATGTAAAGAATTACTGTGTGATATAACACTGTGTGATATGACGCTCTTCAGTGTCTGAAATGACTTAGGCTTCTGGATATGCCTTTTCCAATTGACTTTGTGCTTGCAGAAGAGTCTCAAGAGGCCTTTGTGTACTGGTATAATCTGTAAAAACAAATATTTGGTGTGTTTGTTCTCTTTCCCTTTCTCTGGTCAATTTAGTGGCAATGCAACATGCTATAGATTTGAGAAGTGCCAAGATATTGGATGGAAAGTTGTATTTTGGCTTTTGACTGTGTCAAGGTAAAAACTTACTGGCCTGTTGGGTCTAATACTGACCTTTTTTGGTCAAAGTTGGTTGAATTGGTAATGGGATCTGGGGTTATTCAGCTTTGTTATGAGGTGGAAACACAGATATCAATTGCTGCTTTCTAACTTTTTTGTGTTTTGAGAAATTGTTTTTAACATGTATACTGCTGTAGATGACACAATAAATGTATTATCATTTCGTACATGTCTGTTCTGATAGAAAATGTCACCAAAGAGAACTTTTTGTCTGTGAAGTTACAGGGTAGTGTATTTATTCCTGCAACATCAGGGTGTTTTTCTGGGCTAAAAGGGTTGGGTTCCTTCCTTGTGGGAAGGAGTATCTGGATTATGCTGGGCAAAGTCAGTCTTGGACCAACCAGGCATGAAGTCCTTGCCATTAGTGGGCCATGCACACTCTTCCTTCACCATCAATAGCACACTGCATCAGTATCAAGCATGACTGTGGTCTAATACTGCCAGTAAAAATGGAACACACTCTTCACTGCAACTAATAACCCCTGTGGTTCTGAGCTTTGATCCACAGGTCCTTTGAGGCCTACATATTATTTCTAAGGTGTCTAAACAGGAAAAGAAAGTCTGTTGTCCCCAGACAAAAGCACTGCCTTTTGGGAAAGGTGGAAAAGATTGTTCTCTATAACACCTGATATGTTTCAAGGCTTCATTTCTATTATAACGAGAGCAAACCTTAAGAGTTACCATTTTCAAAAGATAAGGTACACTCACCCTACTGAAACACAGGACTCCACAGTAGAAGACTTATTTCTAATATTCCTTTCATCTTTTTCAGCTGCCATAAGTCTCTGTCTGGCCCTCATGTATCTATGAATCCTCCACAAAGGCTACATCTTTCAATTGCTATTCTCCCTCACTGTTTAGCCAAAATACAGACCCTTGTCCTTTGTTGGGAAAGTGGACATTTATCTATTGAAACTGGGGGTAGAGATGTGTCAGGGAGCAGCTAGGACCAGCTCACCCTGATGGATGGGTGGGAGACAAGGGGCATTGCATGGGGACCAGGACCAGTCACAGCCACAGGGAAGAAGCAGGGATGGCCTGGAAATGGAGACCAGATTCAACCAAGAGTCCTGATCATCAGACAAGTTCATGGTGGCAGTGCAGGTCCAAGACAGGTACAAGGCCAGGCCAGGACATCAGCCTAAGAACCTGTCCCTGATCAGTGGATCCCTTGGTGGGGCAGGGCCTTTGCAAAGCTGGAAATCAGCATGCTTCTTCACTGCTGAGGCAGGGCCAGGGCTGAAATGGGGTCTTGGACCCATGGGCAGGTTGAGAGTTCAGGGGGGCAGAGCAGATATATGGATTTTCATTTTTTTTGCTGTGTTTCAAATCATTGTAAATACAGTGATAGATAATCCATTTACACGGATTTACTAGGCAGTCTCAGCCCCTTCTTTGAGTGCTGGATGAGGAGGTACAGGATATATCTCCCCTTTCCACTGTGGGCCAAAGGGACGAAGAATGTGTGGTCAAAGAGAAGGGGAAGTAACAATGTAGCGTAGCAGAGAAACATGTTTATATATCTGGTTAAAAATAGTTGCTTAAGCAAAGGTGGATGAACAGTAATATGATTAGCTGAAAAGGCACATGATCAGTAAAGCCATTGGCTGGAAAAGCACCCAGTGTGTGCATGGAGAAGGAACGCTGTTTTGTGATGGAAAAGTACCAAAGGAGCTAACCGCTGCTAACCGCTAGGCAGAGCACTATAAAAGCCTGTAAGCTCACTCAATAAACTTCTCTGGTTGCACCACAGCTGGAGTCTGTGCCTCAATACGCTACATTCCACCATATGAAG